GATGAATTACAGCCGGTCATGCGGATAAAACAATCCCACAGTTCTGGTTCAATCACATTATCAAACAATGGAAAACCAGTTAGGGAGTTCATTTATTAAATAGTGTTACTATACTATCATAGTGCACGTGAATTAGCTCAATGATTGCAGGTTTACCATAATCCTTAACTACCAACATAATAAGTGGGAACTTCTGCCTAAAAACAACCTTACTAGTAGCATACAGTGACAGAAAACTGACCTACATACTCCAAAACAAGCAAAACGTTCAAAAAAACCTTTAAAATTCAATGGAAAACGAATTCACGAAAACATATAACCAGTAGACGCAGGAACCCATCATGACCTTGAAACTGACTATAGCGTCTTTCGTTGTTACGCTCATGTTCAACAAATTCAAACAACAATTGTGCCTAGGATTATGCCATATAAACTGTTTCAACTTATGCAGAGTGTACTTACGGTCAATATTTCATTATCTTCCCTTGTATATATATTTTGTGTTAGTGAAAAATTTTAAACATGTTTACTCCATGTGTGCATTATTACCATATTGTTGATGCCTGTCAACTGGAGTCCCTCATGTGCATAAAGTGGGAATATATTATTGTAAGACGCATTTTATTGTTTTATGAGGGAGTTGACTTCAAGCTTTATTTATTTTCCCAAGAATATGTAATCCATCCAACGCATACTTGGGTTTTTTTTGTTAATGCGAAGTCAGCATCTCTATATTTGTTGGTGTGTCCCATTGAATCACCAGCTATCCGATTTTCCCCACAAGCTAAAGATAAAATGACAGCAACCATGTTATTTATCCGTAAATCATGTAATTTAAATATGTAACTTAAATAATTCTTATCCATTCCTATACAACTTGTTTGTCCTATATTTGTATGAAAAAAATGTACCCTATTATATTATCATTACTAACTATACTTACTAATCGTATGTGTAATTTATCGAAGTGATGATGCCTGTAAACTGGCGTCCTTCAAGTAAAGAAAAATGAGCATATACTGTTATTATTATTATAAACAAGATTGGGATTTCATATACTGATCTCAAGACTGCTCCTATAGGACTCAGAGACTTAGCGCACACGCCAAGAAAAGCACTTTTAAGAGGCGGCTGCAAACGTTCACTGACGGACGCATTCACTGCCCCCAAAATGAGTAGCAAAACGGAACCATGGCAGGCAGCGAACCAACCAAAAGCTATCGTCTAACAAATATGTAGAAAAAAGAGGAGATGGATTTAGCGTAAGCTAAGGAGACTGTTGAATGGCATCACACACCAAACCTACACAGATGGAACCCGAATGAGAAAGGACAAGATGGGCGTAGGCTCTGAGGGTGACATGGAGGAGATTGTGTAAGGCGGAAATGAAAGCCAACGGGCAATCGTAGAGCCAGTTAAAAAAGGCTGAGAAAAGAACAGAATGAAATGGAGGTGTGCTGTGGAAGCCTTATGTATCCCTGGAACCCAGATGAGTAATAGTAATATAATTTTAGCTTTTAGATGTTGTTGTTGAAACTGAGTAATTAATGTGTCCTTTGTTAACAGTAGAAATTTTAGTGGTTATCAGCTGCCTCGTTAGATTGCATTTAAGAAAAACCGTAGGAACTAAGTCACTACTGTGGCATGTGCTACTGACAGGATTTATCAATAGTATATAGAGAGGCGTTCACAGGCACAAAAATATCAAATAGTGGAGAGATAGATTTGACAGTAAAGCGAGGAAATGAAGCAGTATTGCAGAAAAATGTGGGAGACACGAAAAGAGGACAAAGAATTGCAATACGGAGGGCAGAAATAGCACAATACGGAAGCTCTGTGCCAATGACTTTAATACATGGTATACATAATAATTTCCCAATATATACGTGCAGCAAATCCAAAATAAACATTCCGTTACCAAGTGTCTTGTCTTCTACTGTTACACTGCCATTACTACTACTGCTATTGTCATCATTATAACTACTGATAGTAACCAAGAGGCAAAAGTGTATTCTATAACTTATGAAAATTTGTCTGTTATTCAGGCTATTTACACAGTAGAAATATTGCTTGAACGAGACATTTATATGTAGGTTGTTTCACTGCACACATAACTTTGTTTAGCTGATAACCAGGGTTAACATGAGGAAAGACAAACATAGACAGACAATTTAGTGTCTCTTGGTTATTCTAAGTATAAAAATGCATAGAAATACAAAATCAACTGACAAAATAAACGCAAGTTACCAACTTTTAACATGAATCAACCTTTAATAGAGAATATAAAAAGAACACAACACAACATGTTACCAAGTGATTTAGAATGTTACTCACAACTAAAACAAAATTACTTCTGATTAAAAAGTCAGTTACTCCTAGGATAGGCGTCTCATGAACCAGAATATGCATGAGCCGCACTTATTGTATGATGACAGATGATACTACTACGTTGGACAAAGTGAAGCAAAGGGGAGGATGGGTTCGAGCCCAGGACGCGCACTGACTGAAAGTCAATACCTAAAGCAAGTTCACGTCTTCAGTAGCTAAATAGCAAGGTTTCTTTCAAGAATCTTTTTTTTCAATGTTAACCTACGAAAGATTACTTATTAACAACAGAATCACTGGGCTACCTGGATTTCCATCCGAGACAATGCATATTATTTTCTTTAGTTTTCGTTGTTATGGTCATTCAGTTATGTCCCTGGGTCACCTAATGTACTCACACACATTTTTATTTGGCTTGCAACCTACTGGGGTGGAAAACAGAAGAAGAATACCATAAAGGATTATTTTATTCTTCAGATCTAACATCACTGCATCGTCACATGATGTACTGGAGATGACTGTTTTACTTGAAACTCCTGGATGAAGAGAAAATATTATGCAATAAACTAGGCTGAAAATTACGCATAGTGTGTTAACTTATTGTGCATAATAAAGCTACTATTTTTATTAAATTCTTTTTAAAAATTATATTGTCATCGCATTTCTTCGGCTAAGTGATCTACATATCCCTACCGATAGTAGCAGTTAGTAGCATAAGCTTGCATAATTCGTGAGGATATTGTCCCCAGTAAACAGAAGTAACACTAAAACTACTGATCAAATCCGAGTACAATATGCACGAGCACTGAAACACAAAACGAAAGCCAGGCGAAATGTATCTAGACCGGTAAAACTCGGTGAAATCAAAGACGTAAATTAAATGCTAAATCTATGAAGAATAACTTGGATAAAACAGACTACTTAAAGGGAATCAATCAACACATATTCATGTAGAATCATATGAAAGAATTGTAGAAGAATAGAAACCTGTAAATAGAATTATGATTGAGAATAAGAAATCAACAGCCAGTCTAAGTCGATTTGAGGTGAGCTCCAATGGGTTAATTTTCCTCTATTCCTTTACGTTCCCAGTGGAACATAGGGTTTCAAGTTGAAGCTTAAAAGCTATAGGAGCTATGGTTTTATTTTTAAGGTGTAGGGTTGCTAGCCTCACTTCCAAACCTCTCCGTTTACCGGCCTTACCTATCGGCTTAGAGAGGTTTAGGAGTGTGTCGGCCAGGCATTCAGCCCCAGACCACGTGAGAAATGGTTGGTGTGCATTCTATCGCTGAATCACTGATGCAAACGGTGTAATTTAGGCACTGTAATTTCCATTAAGAACTTAATGGTCTGTTTCTTCGACTTATTAATCGATTCCAATAAAAACTCTTAAAAGTTAACATCAAAGCGTAAATTAAGCAGCACTTGAATTTAAAGCGGTGTATGCCAAATTCAACTCCAACTTTATCTATTTCCACTTAAACAAACAAATGGCAGTATAGACTTTTAGAGAAACCATTTGCTTACCACAGTGAAAATAAAATACACAAAAAGAATGAAGCAGGTCGACGACATCACTGATCTTTCTTATACGTATTAGTTGATGTTCGACTAAGCACTGAAAACCCCTACCAACTTAGCTAACGCACTTATGCAGTGTATTTGTATGCACGTATGCGTGTGTGTGTGAGAGAGAGAGAGACACAGAGGAATAGCACATATCTACTCTACATGGAAAGTTGGTTAAAATCAGTTTTCAGCAATCATCTCGCTATCTAGGTTGTTGATATAAATTAAGCATTTTCGTAATAGAAGCGTTCCAAGTGTGCTTTTCTACTCAGTATACTGATAACAACACTTAGCACAAGGAACAACATTCGAACATCGAATAATATTAACATGAAGTCTGTTCCTATATCGTCTAGAGACTTGATATACGCGCCATGAAAAGAATTTCCAGCAGGCGGCTGCTTTCGCTAGATACTGAAGATCAGATGGCCCGACCAACAAGGATTAGCAACTAGGAACTCTGACAGACAGCGAATCAACCAAGAACTCATCGTCGAACAAATGTGTAGAGATGAATGAAGGTAGATTGACCATGGGCTGAGAAGACCGTTGAGTGAAATCATGCGACAGACACCCAAGTGGAATCCGAATGAGAAACGGTGACCCTGGGGTCCGAGGATGACATATAAGAGAGATGAAAGTTTGTGGGTATAAACCAATTCGATAGTGTCTAGCACTGGGAATGCAGTCAGTCATCTACTGTTATCTGGATGCATTTCCATCCATTTTGTTCTTTTGAGTCCCGAGTGGAACACAGAGCTTCAAGCTAGAGCTTAGAAGTTTCGGTGGCAGTGGTGTTTGTATTTTACGGGATTGGCGTGCTAGCCTCACGTTCAACCTCCACTCTCTACTCGGCTAACTACAGGCTAAGCGAGTTTTCAGTGTGTTGGAAACCCGGACCAGTGTTCTAGGACTGAGTCACCGCCGCCTTAGGCCAGTGTCCAGAGGGAGTCTCGAACTCCTGACCTTTGGCACTATAAGTATGGCGCCCTAACCAAATAAACTACGGGAGAACCACCAAGCGATAATCACTGCAAACACATATCAAACTGAAAAAATCGAGGCAGTATGAAGGCATCTGTTGTATGCGCTTATAAGGTGTTGAGTTAACTCAGTTCAGAAATATTAACAGAAAATGGTAACAATAAGATAATTTTCTTTTTTATTACCTGAAAAACCTTTCCAAACTCTCCTTCTCCAAGACTACTGCCTATTTCAAGTTCACTTGATCGAATAATTCGATAGTTAGTACCTCCATCGATAGTTAAACTGCTTAAATCATCTGTTAAACACTTACTAAGATCCTCAGACTTAGAACCTTGCGTAAACAATAGAGTACGTCTTTTTGAATCACCATCTTCAGATGTTGGTGTACTGTCAAGTGAAATTGATAGAACATTTACATTTCGCGATGATAATCCATCCAATGTATCTTTAAATCGTGGTGAAGAGCATCGACCACTAGTTGAACGAGCCAATCGCTGAAAAGTAAAAAGGTACAGATAATTTTATAAAAGGTAGAATATTATTCATAGTTATTAATTAAAATGTCAAACAAATAAAATATTTTAATTGCCAAAAATAAACATTTATTTAGACATTTAGATATGATAGAGAAGATTTGTAGCTCAGGTGGATGATTTTGATGTGCTTGTGTTCTCTGAGCTGTATAGTTAATTTGCGAAGCTTTCATCGCCCTGCTAGGCGACATCTTCAGCCATACTCTTAGGAAACCACCAAGTGACATCACTAGACAAGCCATTGCTCGAGTGGAACCCGAAAGGGAAGCGGCGAGTTGGTCGTCAGTGCAAGGGTGACTTGGAGGAGGTCATGTGAAGAGGAGTTGAAAGCGTGTGTGCTGACTTGGAGCCAGGTGAAAACTCTAGCAGAGAACCGAACTCAATGGGGACGCACGGCTGAAGCCCTATGTTCCTCTAGGAATTAAGGGAAATAATGATAATATAATAATAATCCTGAATGTATTACTGTAAAAGCCTACACAGTTCACAAATCAACTCATAGCACTGAAGTGGAAAAACTTCTATCTGACCTTACTGAACTTAACATGGAGAGTCTTGTGAAGTGAGTCCTGTGTTATTAAATTTCTTATGCAGAAGAGAGGGCAAGGCATTCATAATCTCTTGCTTCATGTGAGATTACAAAGCAACTTGATGCGCAATATCAATTATACGAATAAACTGAAAAGTAAAGTCTTCTTCACCTTCTAAACAACTTGTACTTATTCCAGCTTAGACAATAAGTTTCCTTCACGCATGAGCCCAATTTATACATATGAAATCGGAATATTGTAACAATAAAATCTTCCCGCAAAATAAAGGCCACTTGAAACACAAGTTCAAAACAATTTTACATATCATGACCATGGTGCTAATGCTCTTTGTCTTATAATGAAAAGTTGATTGTTATGAGTATATGAAAACTGAAATTAATGATGAAATTGAGCTATGAAAACTAACAACTACAAAACCAATTAAGACAATAGCGTCTCAATAAATTGGCAGAATATACCAGTATAATTCCATGAAAATTGAAAAACACACGTTTAAATTATGAACTCCCTACCTCACATAATTCATCCCATCTCGCTGATATCAGTATCAAGAGACGTTTCCTGATATAAGTGCTGCAAATGGAACGCAGTCCAAATAAATTATTCCGCCGATATTATGTGAGTCAGAAAAGTTTCTAATACAAAATTTCACTTGAGGAGCGTATAAGAAACATAACTTGTTACTAAAGCTAACATAGAAACAAACATGGACGCTATAGTTAGCGGTTATATGTATCAACATCACTCATACTTGTTGGAATAAGGAAAAGTTGTTCCAAACTTGGGGAAGACTTTATTTTTCAGTTTATTCGAAAAAATACTACTGCGCATCGATTTGCACTGCAGTTAAACATGGAGCATTTTCATTGAGACTGAATGACTAGCGTTGAATATTCGTCCAACTGTACAGCTCAGTATTGAATTGCTATATTATCTTCGTAGTGATTCGGGATAAAGCTCCTCGAATTTTCTACAAACACGCACTGAGCAATCCGGATACATCTCTTCAGAGGACTATGTGACTAGACAGACGCATACAGAAATCAGCAAAATTAATGGGTTACCTCTGGAGTTATTAGGCAACTTCAGAACAGAGGAGGAAAACCGTCCGTAACTTAAATTCAATGAATTACCTTCACGGATGTTTCGATATTCTCTTCTCAACGGTGTCGGTCAGAAGGTCATTTTGAAACGATCCGTTCATACATAACCCTTTCTTCAGCACCGAACTGGAACTTTATTTATTAGATTCAGAGCTCATTAGACCTGTTATAAAGCGTGAAGGATATCCATTTTCAACCACATGCCTCCTCAAAGGATCAATGCCCTTATCCAAAGAATCAGATTTGCATGCTCTTCAGATACCAACCGCTGTAGATATTAATACTGAATCCAATTGACAATGTTCCATTAGGCCTACATGTCAGCCGAAGATGCACAGAAGAAATTGCTTGTCTGGTTTTGTCTTCAGTATACAATTCGGTAACTGGATGGTAACTACTGAAAACCTGTAAGACACCATATAGGTAATATTTATTGACGCCAATGGTGTAACTATTATTAACATAATTTTTATGGAGGAAAAAACTGTTGACCGTTGGTTTCAAAACATCGAATTCCAAACTCGCCACGTGAAGCTAACCCATCTGTGACGCCAGCTTGCTGCCCGAAAATTAAGCCACTGAACGTGAAATAGGCCTTGGAAGTACATAGAAGTTATTGTGACCAAGGATTCTGCCTTCATGCATTCAAGCTGCCATCTTAAAGGTGTTTGTACGGAGTACCAATCGTGTCTGAAATAAAAATGCTTATAAATAATGCCTCGACACCGATAAATATCTTGCATTTGCTACCTACATTTCTTGGTGAGCATAACTTGAAATTCGTCTACTCACTGGTTGTAGAATACCGCTAAAAGACGTCGCATCTGCGAACTAAACATGTGCAAGAAGACTGACGATTTTATGACTTAGATCTCGGTGTTTTATTTCGAAAAAGAAAACTTCTAATTATTATGGGCACAAGTATGACCAAAAACTATTTTGCTAGGAAACCAGATTGACTTTGCCTACTTCCACCAACATCATTTCAGATATATGATAACTTTTTAGTTGGTAACCGGAGTGTCAGTAAATTGTATTTGCTCCCACATTGAAGGGATGATGTTGTATTACGGCTCACGAATTGACATCATAATTTAATATGTGTAGTCCTCTAACAAAGAAGGGTGTTTAAGAGCATTCTGGTAATTCTTTCAACTCAGGATATAAATTGAGCATTGCAGGAAACCAGGAGTATTGTTACATATCTGTAAACATGATACCATTACTTTGAATCTGGATGGAGACTGTACATTGATCAATTATGTCGTTCTACTTCAAAAACGTTGTTTTGAAGGTCTGCACTCCGCGCTATATTTGCATTGATTTCCATTGCTTTCATATTTTCGTTATGTTTTGAAGATTGATTTCTTTTCGTGTTTTGAATGTGAGGTTTTAGGTAAGACAATTTCTGTTTTTCCCCCACATTTGTTTACCGTCATGGTGTCTGAGGATTTAAATAATTCATGATGCTTATGGATGCATAATTCACGAAGTAATCAAGTAGATGTCGATTGACTTTGATGGAGATCTGTAGAAACTAAACATTTTAGGGAGAAAATTTTGTTTATTTGTTAGAATTTGGTCCTAGGTACTATTAAATAAGCCTTAGTGCAAAGTGTAGAGTTTCACTGAAAGTTGACGTCAACTGCGAACAACATTTCTGCAAGCCATCAAGTAGTCATCCCTATATCTTAGGAACTTTGGTTAGACATTTTAGATTCTGTAGGCATTTCTTCCGCTAGTGGATTTAATACAATTGGCAGTCTAAAGGAATGGAATATAGTGAAGTCGTGAATTTTGGTATGACTTGTCTGGTGTTTACCCTACAGCCGTGCTTATTTACAATAGCATATAAGGTTCACATTGAGCTGATAAAGGATAGTAGGCTATTGTGATCATATATATATATATAGGGGTCCAATTCCTCTTTGAAAGCGCCATCTCCATCTTGATGTTAATCCATATGAACATAATGACAACAGATATGAATCAATGAGGAGTGACTATTTATCAACGTATTTATGGAGAAGTGAACAGTACTTATTGAAGTACATCATGACATAAAATTGATGTGGCATGGGAGAAATAATAGTTGTTAACAACTAGAATCTAAAATATATACATCTTGAAAATGTCTAAGTTGCCCTGGTTAAATTTATTTTGAAGACGTTCTCCAGGTTAAAGTTCTGTTCCGATCTGGAATATAGTAAATATGCAAGTCGGTACAGGAAAACAAAATTTTCTTCATGTGATACGACCGTTAGCTGTTTGGCCTGAGACAATAGATGTTTTCATTTCGTTTTTCAATGTTTTTGCATTTTAAGGGTTTGTTTCATGACATTGCCCTTAATAAACTAAAATTTACTCTGGGTTATTCTATGTTCGACATTGATTGTCAACATGCTTCTGTAAAGAAGAAACCTACTCTTTCCAAAAATAGCTCTTTAAATTCGCGTCGCACAAGAGAAAGTTATAGTTGTGAACAGCAAGTGTAATGAAATTTGGGAGAAGCAGAATTGCAGTAATTATCTCTGCCACAATGAAGCAGTCAAAGTTATCCAATACATGTACATAGCTAACTGTAGGTTAAAAATACTTTGCTTATGGTAGTAAGATAATTCTGTATTAAAAGTATTCAATTAATTCAACATAATGAGCTATCATTATTCAAGGCTTGATGATTTTTGTACATGCCTATATCTATATGGTCACATTATTCTCAAAAGTTGGCCTTCATTTTATCCTTATTCATTGTGTTTAAGTTTTATTGCTAACAGTTTCTAATGACAAATATTGTATGTATCATGTTTATTGAGTAGACGAAGACTCCAACTGTCTTTATCTCTTTACCCGAATATCCGGAAAATTCTTTTACCCATGAAGTGAGCTAATCAGAAATAAATGAACTGTAAAAGCTAAGCTTTGTCTAAGGTGGTATGATTGTACTGTGACAACTATGTAAACATCGTGCAGTAAATAAATCCATATCAGTTTGTTTTGTGAGGAAAATACGTTGCTAGACTGTATAGTCCTCATCGGCTAATCGACTGAAAGTGAATATAAATACTTTAGTAGTAGTTCCTCGAATTTTCGGTTTGTAGGGTCGAAACAGTATGGATGTCATGCTATCAATTAATTTGAAGTTAGTGTGAATTTATGGAAAAGTAGTGACTGTTTGAAATGAAAAGAACCTTTAGGTCACTATATATGCTGGCTATTTGTTGTTCACCAATTTCGGATGATGACAGTATGATCAAAATTGTTTGTGGAATAAGACGTGTATCCCACTGATGGGAAACTTTCAGTAAGATTTACTTCATACCTCGATATGGAACTTGAGAATGTTGATAAGTTCTTCTTCTGTTGAATGGAAGGTTGTGTTGTCAGGTTGATGTGTACACTTCCACTTTTTAGAATTGAGCAGAATGAATGGATAGATTTTTTCATCTCTGGTATTTGGCTACCGATGTATTAATACCGACATATTGGACTTGCTTAGCATTGTCCAGTGCATGTAATCGTATCTGATAATCCATCAAACAGCAAGTACACTAAATGTCATCTTTCTCCGATATATTCTATGACGGTTAATTATCATCGAGTGCGGAAAACTTAGACGTGTCCTTGTCATGAAGTCATCGGGTAGACAATTTTGAAATGAGACTAGAAGTCCTAGTTGACACAAGCCAGTCAACAATATTGAGTTCATGTTGACTGCCAGTAACTGGAACATGTATGTTGTCTCATTGTTGAAAATGAAACACATTATTGAATAAACCAAGATTAAGCTGGAAGAGAGCCAAGGACAGCCAAACAAGATACAAAACTAATCAAAAAACCTTGTGATTCTTAATATGAGCTATGCCAAGAAGTATAAACTCCTCGACTAGTAACTTTAAAATGTTAAAGACGAATAAATGGAGAAATCTCGAGATACTGCTTTAATTCATTTAAGGTAGCAATGTATTCATCCTATATACTCCTCGAAATTTTAGACAGTTTAAATTTTTCCCCTCCTGAGTTCATTCCTTTTTTGATTCTTTGGACAGCTTTTTTTGGTGGGTTGTGGAGGGAGGAGACGGTATAGCATAGTATAGTATATTGAATTGATTTTTGTTTCTCAACGTTTTAATTGGTCCCAATTATTCTATGCTCAATGTTGATAATGACTCACTGTGTTTATCTCCATCGTTATGCATGTTTAATTCAACAGTATCGTTTCATTTTATATCATTCTCTATTTTCGTAGGCGTTTCTTCCTTGTTTTAATCAGAATTCCCAAATAAACCTTTTGTCGAACAGATTACTATTTAAACAATTAATAAGTTTCAAAGTAATTATTTGTTGATATTTACAATTATGTTATGGTGAATTTAAAATCCTCTTCAATAGATCTCTGAATTACATTGATCGGACATAAGGGAATAACCAATATTGTGTTACATACTAGTCCTCTATGTTAGTGTTAACTGAATTACAATGTGGTCCCCAAGCTAGGTGACTGGTCATTACGGAGCACATTGAAACGGTGCTAGGTGTTTGAAGACAATCAGTTTTCTCAATGGTATCATTGCCACTCAATGACTAATATTTCCATACTTCCGTACCGTTAATATACATATTTTACAGCCATGCAAAATAAATAAGACGTGACTTAACAACCTTCAGATTCATTAAACTGGGCTTTTAACTTATTATTATTAGCACGTTATGATATGCAGCTGTAAAAACAGAAAACCTTTGGTCCACCCAACTACTTTCAGTATTGAAATTACTTTTCGATTGGAAAATTTTATTTCCCGATACAAATTTGATACGAATTCAAGACTTTTCAACTAGAGGCAGTGTTTAACCACTTATCAAGAATTAGACCTTCATTGAATGATGTGACGTTGAGCTCAGGTTAGGTGAATCAATAAATCCATGAATAATCCCCATCCAGACGTTAATGAAACTAAAACACGGAGTTCAACCAAGAGGCTCTTCTCGGCGAATTCATTTTCTTTTACTATATAACCGAATTTATATTACACTTTTTTCCATGAAGAGGGTATATAAACGCTACTGCACAGCTAAATAAATTGAGTTCTCTGAGAAGAGCCTCTTTACTGAACTACATGTTTTGAATCAACAGAGGTCATCCAAAGACACTTAAAGTCATCCTGGAGCTCATTTTCATTTCACCACCATTCATGGCATAATTAAATCAACAAATGATTTAAAAAAACCTTTCTGCTGCATTTGTAAGTGTTGAATGAATTCAAAAAATGGCTCCTTAAACACCTGCCAGCTGACAGTTATTCATCGGGCACACAAAGTAATCTAGTTTATTCATCTACTAACCTGTTTTTATTTCTTATTTTTGTATTTTATTAGTGTGGTAAATATATTCTTCAATTTCTCTGGGCATGCTGACTGCCTCTTTGGCACCAACTTCTAACGTCCCTTTAATTAGTGAAAACGGACATCTACGTTCACGATCAACGTCTCAGCATTTTCAAGGAGATCGTACTAGAAGTGGTTGTCGACAACCTGGAATATCGACTCCAAGTGTAGATACGTTATCCGACTCATTAAGTCTTGCAACAACCGCGACTGAGGGAACAATTGGAGAAGTCTGGGAACGAAAACAATACCCCGACATGCCCTTAGGATGTGCTATAATAAAAAATCAGCCACCTTCCTTTTTAAATCTCTCTAACCGTGTTCAAGAACAGTCTTCAGAAAAAGACCTGTATGAGTTTTTGAAAGACGCTGAATTAGAACATTACTACACTGTTCTCACACGTCATTTAAAGGTTAGTACATATTATTATGAGAGAGTATAAAGAAGTTTATAAGATAATATGATTCCTCAATGGTATATTCATTAAATTATAGGTGTTTTGGTAATTTCACTCGCTATAAACCCATAGTTTATTTATTTTTTTTTTTTTGATTTACAGCTTGATTTCCACACCGTATTTTCAGTACAAGTGTGGAACTTTCAGCATGGATATCGGTTGCCCAAATTCAGGCATACCATAGATATCGGGTGTGCGCCGGCAGGGGTTCGAACCCCGGACCATGTGCATGGTCGGCGAGAGTCCTAACCACTGTGCCACCGACGCACAATTTACACCGTCACATGTTTTAAAAGTCTAGGTCGTTTTCCCTTACTGTTTTCAACATCATGTTCTTGTTTTAGTTAGTTTTATTCACAGTTAAAAATGCAACCTTCTTGACTTAGATACTTAATTTTCCAGCAGCAGAATGGAGGCTAGAACCCCCTACCACTTGTGTTGAGTGGGACGTTTGTTGAATTACTAAGGTGTATTTGTACACCAAACACCTTGATGTTCAAGTGTGATCACGGATCGATATCAGCTAGAGAACCATTGAAAACTGGGGTTACAGGACAGGTGTTCCGTCTTAGTTTGAGACTCATCGGCAGTACGCACCTACTGGGTTTCAAACCCAGGACCTGGTTACAAGGCAATCTCGTAAGCCACTCATCCCCTAGGAGCCAACTCAATGGCCAATCCCTGAATTCTAACTTCTACCAATTCGTGATTTTAGCACGAGTGGCACCAGCCAGTGTCACCGGCGGCGAATATTTGTCCTCACTACCGATGGTTCTCTACCTGGTCAAACTTGAAACAAATCAAATCCTTACAAACAAACTCTTGAAAACCTTTATGTTCATTTTGCACTTCGTATTTATTTAGGATGAATAGTGACAGTTTTTATTTTAAAAATCATTTCTTATTTAGGATGAGTTTAAATTTTGAACTGGTCATTTACATTTGCTAGACCTATTTGACTCATCCAGTTTAAGGTGGGGGTAATTATCTGAATAACTTTGATTACAACCGGTATAAAGATAAGTAGAGAGCACATGTCAAGTGATCCACAACGGAAAACTCAGCGAGGCGTTTGGAATAAACACAGGAGTCAGACAAGGGTGCTTATTATCTCCAATGATATTCCTAATTGTGGTGGACTCGATTATGCGTCAGACAGTGAGAAAAGAGAAGACAGGGATATCCTGGACCGAAGTGAAGAATCTAGAAGACCTGGATTTCGCGGATGATTTATGTTTGATGTCACACAGAATCGAAGACTTACAAACGAAAACCGACAAACTGGTCGAAGAAGCAGCAAAGACAGGACTTCAGGTGGACATAGACAAGATGGAGGCTATGAAAATAACCAACCACCAACAACAGCAGCATCCAGCGCCAATCACTATCAACGGGAGGGATTTGAAAGAGGTTACTTCATTCACTCATCTAGGGAGCATTGTCTCAACTACAGGAGGAACGGACAAAGATGTCAAATCGAGAATCGGAAAGGCAAGAAACACATCTATCAAACTGAAACCAATCTGGAAATCTTCGTCACTCCTCAGCATCAACAACAAAATTCGGATTTTCAATACAAGCGTCAAGTCAGTTCTTCTATACGGATCAGAAACTTGGCGGGTCACCAAGAATATTTCCAACAGCCTGTTGCAGACGTTTATCAACAGCTGTCTTCGTTCTATACTGAAGATCAGATGGCCGGAAAGAATCACCAACAAGAAACTATGGGAACAAACAAAGCAAGAACCAATCGCTCAACAAATATGCAGGAGAAAGTGGAGATGGATTGGACACTCACTCGCTGAGAAGGCCGCTGGGTGACATCGCGCGTCAGGCCAACGCTCGAGTGGAGCCCGAAAGGGAAGCGACGAGTGGGACGTCGAAGGGTGACATGGAGGAGATCATGTGAAGAGGAGTTGAAACAATATGGAATAACATGGATGCAAGTGAAAAGCACAGCAGAAGACAGAAGTAAGTGGTGACGTGCAGTTGAAGCCCTATGTTCCACTAGGAACCCAAGGGAACAGTAATAATAATATATATAGAGAGAGAGACTGTTTCATAAGGCGTTGATAAACCATGAGCACTTTACATATACTCAATTCCACTAAGCAATTAGATCAGTATACTTTTCATCAAACCAAACTTCAGATTATTCCTGGCTTTAGTAATATTACCAATACTTTCCTTTTCATAGACACTCAGGTTTCAAAGAGGTATTACATAGGATATGAATCAAATAAGTGTAATACCTGATTGAGATGCTACATAAAAGAATGAGAGTCTAGTGCAAGACTGTATAATTTGCTATATATGCAGTGGCTTTTGCTAGATTTTAATACCACATTGCAGCATTCCTAAGCTGAAATTTAGGTAAGAAAAGAGAAATTCGTTGGTTCAAGCACTCGAATTTTATCCAATGGGTCCCGGGTTCTAGTCCCCCTCCACTTATCTTAGCCTAAACAAATAGGTAGTATCACCAACCCTCCCACACTAAGTGTGGCTCATAGTCCCGTAAGTGGGAAATCTGTTCCAGATAACTGAGTACAAAACAAAATATAACCCTTATGCCTTAATATGGCTCACTGGTTTAGATCGGTCCTTGATTCAAACTTGTCATTCATCTAATTCAGCCTGGGCAACCAACTAGTATCATCAGTCGCAACACAATAAGTTTGATTTACGGCACAATGCATGATTAGTCTGTTCTAGGTGAGAGACTTAGCTGTGGCAGTAATAGCATGTGCCTGCAATCGTGATATTGATGCATATCATTAAGAGATTACTTCCTTCACTTATCTAAGCAGCATTGTTTCAACTAAAGGCACGCCACACGGATAAGAATGTCAAAGGCAAGATCAGAAAGTCAAGACAGACCTTCATCACGCTTAAATCAGTTTAGAAATATTCTTTACTCAACATAAAGAACGAAATTCGGATTTTCAACACCCATGTCAAGCCAGTTCTTCTTCATGGATCATAAACTTAACACGTCATGAAGAGCTTTTCTAATAGGCTTCAGACTTTTATCAACAGCTGTCTTCGCTGGTTCCACACTGAAAATCAAATGGCCAGAAAGAATTAGTAACAAGAAACTCTGGAAACGAACCAATCAAGAACCCATTGCTCAATAAATATGCAGAAGAAAATGGAGGTGGATCGCACACATGCTGAAGAGGCCACTGAGTAGTGTGGCGCTCTAGACCATAAATCGAGCGTGAAATAGCGAGTTGGGTGTAGCCCCGAAGGTGACTTGGGGAAGATCGTGTGCGGAGGAGGTGAGAGACTATGGACAACCGTGGAGCCACCTGAAAATGATTGTGGAGAACAGGATAAAATGGAGATGTGCTGCTGAAGTCCTGTGTTTCACTTGGAACCCAAGGGAATAACAATAGAAAAGTCACTAGGATTTTATGTTCTATTTTCACATAAAGTGTTAGAAATTTAAAACGTTCTAGCTATCATCGATATTTTTAAAAATGATAAATATAGTTTTCATCGCAAAATGTTCACAGGCGCCAGTTATTCGCATCTGTAGCTCATTGGTCTAGGTACTCAAATTTCAATCAGAGAGTGATGGGTTCGAAACCTGGCCCACACACCGAGGTTTGGGCAGCCTTGGGTTGTATAATCACCCTTCACACGATAGGTGTGGCTCATTGCTAGTAGTTGTTGAGTAACATTGACTGACTGATTATGCAGCACTCTAATGACATGGTTTCATTTTCCACAAATACGGATAATTTCCAGGTCATAGATCATTTTAGTGGATTTTTAATTTATTAATATAGGCACTAGACTTTTAGCAGGTGGATCACAGGTTTAAGCCCTTTTCTACCTACGTATATTTTAACCACCAGTTGGAGGCCAAATGTGGCTTAAAGTACCTTGAGTACCAACCATATTGTATCACAATCTTTTTCAAATGGAATGATTTTTTCGTTCTGTTATTAACAGTAATAATAATAATAATAATCCTATTCTATGATTTATCAATATGATTTTTGTTGTATTATAATTATATTTTGTTTTAACAATGATCACTGTGTTATTTTTTAGATTCGATCAGTTCAACAAATCAAATATGTTGAAGACTCTGATCTTGCAGAAATGGGGTTCAGTCGACCAGAACAAAGACGCTTACGTAAGCATTTCAAGCGGGAATGCCCACAAACAGCAATGGGAAAACTACGAAAGGTTAGTTGGATTAGGGATTACTATGCAGTATATATACTCAGCGTAACATATTCATCTCAAAGCTTAAGAAGATTTAAGCTAATTAATATGTGGAATGTGCGTCGGTGGCATAGCGGTTAGGACGCTCGTCGACCATGCACATGGTCCGGGGTTCGATCCCCGGCCGACGCACTCCTTTACCTCGCTAAGCCAGAAGTAATGCTGGTGAAGAGGAAAGGTTGGGCATGAGGCAGGCTAGCAACCCCATCCTGTAAAAATAAACACTGCTAAAGAAACTTCAAGCCACAAGCTTGAAGCCCTATGTTCCACTGGGGAACGTGAAGGATAAAAAAATATGTGAAATAATAAGGCTTTTGCCGCACACTAGGAGGTATGGATGAGGTGTATTCTTTCCGTTGTATTATAGCTTGGCTTTTTAATTTGGATTTGTTGATATAACTGTAATGGCAGAATATAAGAGAATCGGTAAAAGACTTCCTTATCACGGTAAAACACATCATTTATACAATTTTAACCATACTAAAGGTCTGTTAGGTCAGCTCATGATAAACTCTGCTGACTGGCTGGCAATTGACTCAAGGTTCAACAGTGACACGAAAAGTTGTCCAATGAGATTATTTCATGTCCACAACGTGAATTAGGTTCAGGTTTGAGGAATAAATACTGCTGCCTCTGCGGCCACTGACTTAAAATGTTGATTTCAATTTTGGCCGCTTCCTATCAATCTGCATCTATGTACTACTAATGAATCTTGTCAGTAACACATGCCACATTACTACTTCGCAAGCCTAATTTACCTTAGGAAAGTGTTTTCATGATGATCGTGGTATCCTTCTCAGAGTGGTTTTACGGTATTTTTAAATATGTCTAAATGAATGTTTATTTTTGGCAATTAAAATATTTTATTTGTTTGACATTTTAATTAATAACTATGAATAATATTCTACCTTTTATAAAATTATCTGTACCTTTTTACTTTTCAGCGATTGGCTCGTTCAACTAGTGGTCGATGCTCTTCACCACGATTTAAAGATACATTGGATGGATTATCATCGCGTAATGTAAATGTTCTATCAATTTCACTTGACAGTACACCAACATCTGAAGATGGTGATTCAAAAAGACGTACTCTATTGTTTACACAAGGTTCTAAGTCTGAGGATCTTAATAAGTGTTTAACAGATGATTTAAGCAGTTTAACTATCGATGGAGGTACTAACTATCGAATTATTCGATCAAGTGAACTTGAAATAGGCAGTAGTCTTGGAGAAGGAGAGTTTGGAAAGGTTTTTCAGGTAATAAAAAAGAAAATTATCTTATTGTTACCATTTTCTGTTAATATTTCTGAACTGAGTTGACTCAACACCAATAAGCGCATACAACAGATGTCTTCATACTGCCTCGATTTTTTCAGTTTGATATGTGTTTGCAGTGATTATCGCTTGGTGGTGCTCCCGTAGTTTAGTTGGTTAGGGCGCCATACTTATAGTGCAAGAGGTCAAGAGTTCGAGACCCTCTCCGGACACTGGCCTTAGGCGCCGGTGGCTCAGTCCTAAAACACCGGCCAACCACATAAGTGGTCCGGGGTTCCGACACACTGAAACCTCGCTTAGCCTGTAGTTAGCCGAGTAGAGAGTGGAGGTTGAACGTGAGGCTAGCACGCCAATCCCGTAAAATACAAACACCACTGCCACTGAAATTCCTAGGCTCTAGCTTGAAGCTGTGTGTTCCGCTTGGCACTCAAAAGAACAAAATAAAAAAACAACTGCCAGGTGGCAGTTTCAGTTAGAATATTGTTTCTGATTGGGATGGAAATGCATCCAGATAACAGTAGATGACTGACTGCATTCCCAGTGCTGGACACTATCAAATTGGTTTATACCCACAAACTTTCATCTCTCTTATATGTCATCCTCGGAACCCAGGGTCACCGTTTCTCATTCGGATTCCACTTGGGCGTCTGTCGCATGATGTCACTCAGTGGTCTTCTCAGCCCATGGTCAATCTATCTTATTTCATTTCTACGCATTTGTTCGACGATGAGTTCTTGGTTGATTTGCTGTCTGTCAGAGTTCCTAGTTGCTAATCCTTGTTGGTCGGGCCATCTGATCTTCAGTATCTAGCGAAAGCAGCCGTCAATGAAAGTCTGCAGCCGCCTGCAGTAAATTCTTTTTAATGGCGCGTATATCAAGTCTCTAGACGATATAAGAGCAGACTTCATGTTAATATTATTAGATGTTCAAATGTTGTTCTTTGTGCTAAGTGTTGTTATCAGTATACTGAGTAAAAAAGCACACTTGGAACACTTATATTACGAAAATGTTTAACTTATGTCAACTTAGATAGCGAGCTGATTGCTGAAAACTGATTTTAACCAACTTTCCATCTAGGGTAAATATGCCCTATTTCTCTGTCTGCCTTTCTAACACACACACACACACGCATACTTGCATACAAATACCCTGCATAAGTACATTAGCTAAGTTAATAGGGTTTTGAGTGCTTAGTCGAACATCAACTAATACGTATAAGAAACATCAGTGATGTCGTCGACCTGCTCCATTCTTTTTGTGTATTTTATTTTCACTGTGTCAAACAAATGGTTTCTCTAAAGGTTTATACTGCCATTTGTTTGTTTAAGTAGAAATAGATAAAGTTGGAGTTGAATTTGGCATACACCGCTTTAAATTAAAGTGCTGCTTAATTTACTCTTTGATGTTAACTTTTGAGAGTTTTATTAGAATCGATTAATAGGTCGAAGACCATTAAGTTCTTAACGGAAATTTTTTTTCCCTTCTCCTTCCTCAGTGGAACATAGGGCTCCAAGCTAGTGGCTTGAAGTTTCTGTAGCAGTGTTTATTTTACAGGATGGGGTTGCTAGCCTCATGCCCAACCTCTCCTCTTCACCAGCATTATTTCTGGCTTATCGAGGTAAAGGAGTGCGTCGGCCGGGGATCGAACCTCAGACCATGTACAGTACCTAAATTACACCGTTTGCGTCAGTGATTCAGCGATAGAATGCACACCAACCATTTCTCACGTGGTATGGGTCTGAATCCCTGGTCGACACACTCCTAAACCTCTCTAAGCCGATAGGTCAGCCCGGTAAACGGAGAGGTTTGGAAGTGAGGCTAGCAACCGTACACCTTAAAAATAAAACCACAGCTCCTATAGATTTTAACCTCCAACTTGAAACCCTATGTTCCACTGGGAACGTAAAGGAATAGAGGAAAATTACCCCATTGGAGCTCACCTCAAATCGACTTAGACTGGCTGTTGATTTCTTAATCTCAATCATAATTCTATTTACAGGTTTGTATTCTTCTACAATTCCTTCATATGGTTCTACCTGAATATATGTTGATAGATCCTCTTTAAGGAATCTGTTTTATCCAAGTTGTTCTTAACAGATTCAGCATTTAATTTACGTCTTTGTTTTCACCGAGTTTTACCGGTCTAGATACATTTCGCCTGGCTTTCGTTTTGTGTTTCAGTGCTCGTGCATATTGTACTCGGATTTGATCAGTAGTTTTAGTGTTACTTCTGTTTACTGGGGACAACATCCTCACGAATTATGCAAGCTTATGCTACTAACTGCTTCTATCGGTAAAGATATGTAGATCACTTAGTCGAAGAAATGCTACCACAATATGATTTTTAAAGAATTTAATAACAATAATAGCTTTATTATGCACAATAAGTTTACACGGTATGCAAAATTTTCAGCCTAGTTTATTGCATAATATTTTCTCTTCATCCAGGAGTTTCAAGTAAAACAGCCATCTCCAGTACATCATGTGACGACGGAGTGATGTTAGATCTGAAGAATAAAATAATCCTTTATGGCATTCTTCTTCTGTCCCCCACCCCAGTAGGTTGCAAGCCAATTAAAAATGTGTATGAGTACATTAGGTGACCCACGGACATAACTGAATGACCATAACAACGAAAACTAAAGATGCATTGTCTCGGATGGAAATCCAGGTAGCCCAGTGATTCAAGCAAACTGCCTGTTGCTAAGATGTAATCTTTCGTAGGTTAACATTGAAAAAAAAGATCCTTGAAAAAGACCTTTCTATTTAGCTACTGAAGACGTGAACTACTGTTTGCTTTGCTTCACTTTGTCCAACGGAGTAGTATCATCTGTCATCATACAATAAGTGCGGCTCATGCATATTCTGGTTCATGAGACGCCTATCCTAGGAGTAACTGACTTTTAAATCAGAAGTAATTTTGCTTTAGTTGTTCTGTTCTTTTTATATTCTCTATTAAAGGTTGATTCATGTTAAAAGTTGGTAACTTGCGTTTATTTTGTCAGTTGATTTTGTATTTCTATGCATTTTTATACTTAGAATAACCAAGAGACACTAAGCTGTCTGTCTATGTTTGTCTTTCCTCATGTTAACCCTGGTTATCAGCTAAACAAAGTTATGTGTGTAGTGAAACAACCTACATATAAAATAAATGTCTCGTCCAAGCAATATTTTTACTGTGTAAATAGCCTGAATAACAGACAAATTTTCATAAGTTATAGAATACACTTTTGTCTCTTGGTTACTATCAGTAGTTATAATGATGACAATAGCGGTAGTAGTAATAGTGGTGTAACGATAGAAGACAAGAGACTTGGTAACGGAATGTTTATTTGGGATTTGCTGTACATATATATTGGGAAATTATGTATTAAAGTCATTGGCACAGATCTGCTGTATTGTGCTATTTCTGCCCTCCGTATTGTATTTCTTTGTCTTCTTTTCGTGTCTCCCACATTTTTCTGCAATACTGGTTCATTTCCCCGCTTTGATGTCAAATCTATCTCTCCACTATTTGATATTTTTGTGCCTATGAACGCCTTTCTATATACTATTGATAAATCCTGTCAGTTGCATACGCCACAGTAATAACCTAGTTCCTACGGTTTTTTCTTAAATGCAATCTAACGAGGCAGCTGATTACCACTAAAATTTCTACTGTTAAAAAAGGACACATTAATTACTCAGTTTCAATAACAGCATCTAAAAGCCAAAATTATATTATTATTACTATTCATCTGGGTTTCCAGGGATACATAAGGCTTCCGCAGCACACCTCCATTTTATTCTGTTCTTTTTTCAGCCTTTTTTAACTGGCTCACCGATTGCTCATTGGCTTTCATTTCCGCCGTACACAGTCTCCTCCATGTTACCCTCGGAGCCTACGCCCAGCTTATCCTTTCTCATTCGGGTTCCATCTGCGTAGGCTTGGTGTGTGATACCATTCTACAGTCTCCTTAGCTTATGTTGAATCCATCTCCCCTTTTTTCTGCATATTTGTTGGACGATAGGTTTTTGGTTGGTTCGCTGCCTGCCATGGTTCGTTTTTGCTACTCCTTTGTGGCCAGTGAATGCGTCCGTCAGTGAACGTTTGCAGCCGCCTGTTGAAAATGCTTTTCATGGCGTGTGCTCTGAGTCTCTGAGTCATATAGGAGCAGTCTTGAAATCAGTATATGAAATCCCAGTCTTGTTCGTTGTGCTGAGTGCAGCAGATTTCCACACTGATTTCAGAGTAATGAATACCTGTCTCGCTTTTCCGATCCTGGTTTTGACATTCTCATCGCTCAAATGAGCGAAAGAAGTGACCTCGTTCTAATTGCTTCCGTTGATAGTGATTAGTGCTTGTTGTTGTTGCTGTTGTTGTTGCCGGTCATCGTGTATCTGCATCACCTCTGTCTTCTGTATGTTAACTTGAAGTCCTGTCTTCGATGCTACTTCTACCAACTTGTCAGATTTTGCCTGCCTGTGTGACACTAGACATAAATCGTCCACGAAGTCCGGATCTTTTAGAGTTTAACTTTTCGGTCCGGCATATGCCCGTCTTCTTGCTCCCCATGGTCTATTGCATGATCCAGCCCACCATTGTTGGGAATACCATCGGTGATGGTAGTCAGTCTTATCTTGTTTGTGACTTCACTTCAGAGGCTTCACTGAACTTTCCAGTGCGAAATGCTGGGCCTGTAGCATTATTGTATAGCTGCTGAAAAGGCACTCTGTAGAGGTGAAGTAGTTTCGAAATTAATTTACGACCGACAGTGTCTATGAAGTTAAGGCAGAGTGTAGTCTGACATTCTATGCCCTGCCTGGTGATTGCAATTTGGTCCTCGCAAGATCTGCGTTTTCTGAGTGCAACTTGTTCCAGATTCAGTTTCTGCACACAGAGCATCTTTTAGTCACTCCCGGATGATGTGGCTTAGTATTTCTCTCAGGGTGAACAGGAGCGTGATCCCGCTCCAGGCTTGGCAATGGCCTAAGTCACCCTT